TCATCAGGTCCATCCTGCCACTGGTAGACACCCACTGGAGCTCAGTCTCTGGCACAGGATCCCTCTTCAGGCCAGAGACCACGGTGGGAGCCCAGGCCCAGACCACATTCGCCCACACTGACCTGAGCAGGACCCAGGCCCAGGGTAGGTCCRAGTTCGTCACCGCCACCCATCTGGGAGCCCAAGCCCACCCCACTTCCATCTTGGGACACTGCAGACATCACCATAGACTTCCCCATGCAGTAGCCCTACCTTTTGGACAACAGACAGGGCCTAGAAGCAACTGCAACTCAGAACTGGCAACCCAAAGACAGTGCAAGGCCCACCCTTTCAATCCCATCTCTGTAAGACATTGCATCCATCTTGGGGCACGMACTTCCACTATCATCCCAAGTTACCTTGGCTATTGMCACCACCACCTKTAGTTGCAATAGCATACATTGAAGGAAACTATCAGGGTCTGGAAGCCAACATAAAGGTGAGGTACAGACAATCTGCATGGGTACTACAAGAATATACAGGAGAAACTGTAATATCTCAAGGGCCACATTGCAAGAAAGGGAGACACATAGACAACATTAAAAAAAAAAGAAGAAAGAAAACAAGGGAGGAAAATGCCTTAAACAAACCAGGATACTACAATAACAGAACCCATGGACAGCAAAGTTGATGAAATATCAGAGAAGGAGTTCAGAAGGTTCATAATTAAAATGATCTGTGAATTAAAGAATGACCTAAATGAGCAAATACAGGCAAAAATTGATCACTCCAACAAAGAGATAAAAGAGCAAATACAGGTAGTAAAAGATTACTTCAAGAAAGAGAGACTCTAAAAAAAAAGTCAGAAATCCTTGAAATGAAGGAAACAATAAACCAAATAAAAAATTCAATTGAAAGCATAACTAACAGACTAGATCACTTGCAAGAAAGAATGTTAGATAATGAAGACAGTATACAATCTGGGAAAAAAAAAAAGTTGACCACACAGTGAAGATAGTAAGAGACCATAAAAGAGAACATCCAAGAATTATGGGACAGCATCAAAAGACAAAATCTAAGAGTTATTGGGATAGAGGAAAGCACAGAGTTTCAAACTAAAGGAATGCACAATCTCTTCAATGAGATAATATCAGAAAATTTCATGAGCATGAAGAATGAATTGGAAAACCAAATTCAAGAGGCTTCCAGGGCACCAAATGTACAAAATTACAACAGATCTTTATCAAGACACATTATAATGAAAATGTCTAGCATACAGAATAAGGAGAGAATCTCAAAAGCTGCAAGAGAGACAAATCAGATTACATATAGAGGGAGACCATTTTGTATCTCAGCAGATTTTTCAACCCAGACCCTCAAAGCCAGGAGATCATGGAATAACATATACAAAGCTCTGCAAAAAACTGGGTACCAACCAAGAATCTTATATCCWGCAAAATTAAGCTTTATATTTGATGATGAAATAAAAACTTTCCATGATAAACAAAAGTTAAAAGAATTTACAACTAGAAAGCCTGCACTACAGAACATCTCTGGCAAAATATTCTGTGAAGAGAAAATGAAAAACAATTATGAAAATCAGCTGAAAGATATATTACACTAAAGGGAAAAAATCAAGTTACATTAAATACCAAAAATAAACAAAAATGGCTGGGAATACAAATCATGTCTCAATAATAACCCTGAATGTTAATGGCCTAAACTCAACAATCAAGACMTAGACTAGCAGATTGGATCAAATAAAAAAAAGACCCAACAATATGCTGCCTCCAAGAGACTCATCTCACAGGAAAAGACATCCACAGACTGAAGATGAAAGGTTGGGAAATCACACCACTCACATGGACTGCAGTAGGGGTTTCCATCCTCATATCAAATAAAGTAGACTTTAAGCTAAAGTTAATCACAAGGGATAAAGAAGGATGCTACATACTGCTCAAGGGAACCATACACTAATAAGACATAACAATTATAAATATATATGCCCCAAACAATGGAGCATCTATGTTCATCAAAGAAAGTCTTCTCAAGTTCAAGAGTCAAATAGACCACAACACAATAATTTTGGGTGACTTTAACATACCTCTTTCACCACTGGATAAGTCTTCCAAACAAAAGCTGAACAAAGAAACTACAGAACTCAATAACAGTCAATAACTTAGACTTAACTGACATATTTAATTCCTTCAACGAGAGAATACACTTTCTTCTCAGCAGCACATGGATCTTTCTCTAAAATAGACCATATATTATGCCACAAAGCAACTCTTAGCAAATATAAAAAAGTAGAGATACTACCCTG